AAAAGTACTTTAAAAATAAAACTAGTATACTGTAATCACTTTAAAAAGGGTAGCCATTATTAAATTAGTGAGTGGGCAGGGAGAAAAATCAAGAATAACATTACAGAGTTATTATGGCAAAATATTCAAAGCATGGATTTTTGGCTCAGTTTGAGTCCTGGCTCTGCCATGTCCTATTAGGTGGCCTTGGCAATGCTCAGATTCTCATCTGTGAAGTAGGGATAACAAAAATATTTATTATACTATACATGATTAGGAAGATTATGTGTAACGATTCATATAAAGCTGTTAGCATAGTATCTGGCTCATTGTAAACAATCATATTTCTCATTTTTATCCAGTATTATTAATGTTAGAATAAATCTGGTTTTAAGGAACGAGGGACCTACACTTGGCTCCAGTTTTACTGCAGGTAGTAACAAGCTGTGTGACTTGGAACGGATCACTTAAATTACACCATTGTTTCTCTCTTACAAAGTAGTTGCAATAGTATCTGTTTTTTTAACTTTAGAATAAACTTCAAATATTAATGAAGTCTTTAAGTATAACAATGCTGTAAATAATCCTAAGGGAGGCGATGTGGGCTGTGTAGCTAATGAGCTTATGTAAAAGTGTTCAGAGCAGAAACCTTTGTAGGATCACTCGTGAAATAGATACAAGTTCACAATCTCTTATAAAAAATTTAGGAGCCAGATATGTTTAGAAATTCAGAATCTTCTGATTGTAGAAAGATAATCTTATAATATCTGACGTTATATTATGTACTGTCTTCAGACATCTGAGAAAGTATCTCAGAAAGGCTTTAAAAAACCTATAGCTAGACACATACCATCCCAGGTCAGATATTGCTGCTAAAAAGCCTTCAAGTCAGGTTAGGTTTTGCTATCAAGTAGGTTTTGAGAAAAACTTTCAGTTTTCTGGGGACTTTGTTTTTATTTTTTATTTGCAAACAAGCATTTGTGGATCTGTACAGCCATCAGAGATTTTTCTTCCCCTTATATTTTTGGAAACTTTATTGCTTTGGTGCATAGCTCTGAAATGAGAAGATTATATTCAACAGTAATGATGAAATAGCCATTTTAGTGCCAGACATTTGAGGCTACAAAATAATACAAGAACTAGAAATACTCACAGGAAGTTTTTTTTTTTTTAAATTAAATCATAGCTGTGTACATTAATACAGTCATGGGGTACAGTGTGCTGTTTTTATATACAATTTGAAATATTTTCATCAAACTGGTTAACATAGCCTTCATGTCATTTTCTTAGTTATTGTGTTATAAGACATTTATATTCTACATTTAGAAAGATTCACATGTACCCTTATAAGATGAACCATAGGCATGATCCCACCAATTACCCTTCCACCACCCCTCCACCCTCTTCCCCTCCCCTCCCTCTCCCCTTTCCCCATATTCTTGGGCTATAATTGGGTTATAGCTTTCCTATGAAAGCTATAAATTAGTTTCCAGAGGAAGTATTTTTGAATGTTAAAAGAGTATTGTTGGAATGAGGTCTATAGTTTGTTGTTGTTGTCTCTGTTTTCCTACAGAAAAAAGAGCCTGTGGATATCTCAGTCAAATCTCAAGCAGATAGAACATTTCAGTTCTCTGACCACCATTTGATGGAGTCCATTAAGCTGGGCGATCCCAAAGTGCATGAGTTCCTTAGGTTACTTGCTCTCTGCCATACGGTAATGTCAGAAGAGAATAGTGCAGGTAAGTGAAAAACGTGTCTGAGTGGTGGGCTGTGTGTGTTGGTTTCGGTTTTGAATATCAAAATTGACAGTAAGTTTAAAGGATTTTCAAATTAAAGTAGAACATTGCATAAGGGGTTTACCTGGGACTAGCTTTTCTCAGTGTTTGTTTATATCCCAAATGTTACCACTATGAAATTATATAATAAGAAAAAAGAAAAGAGCAACAGCTAGCTTTTGCCTTCAGGGCATTTTCTGAACCAGGAGAACTTACTCATTCGTTTCCACCCTGGGGCTTGGGTTAGAAACAGCACAGCCAAAGGCCTGCCCAAGGTAGAAAGTATACCAGAAGGGTACTCCTCTAAATGGGGCCTCCTGAAGACTACTCTCATCAAAGCACCAATGTCATACTTTAAACAACTTGAAAAATACTGAGAAATAAAACCTGGAGGCATCATGCTACCAGACTTCAGGTTATACTACAAATCTATAGTGATCCAAACATAATGGTACTGGCACAAAACTGGAGATGTAGATATATGGAATAGAATAGAGAACCTAGAGATGAGCCCAGCCACCTATTTCTAAGTATTGTTTTGCCTATTTGAGTTTTTTTCCAATTCCATATAAAATGAAGTACTATTTTCCATGTTCTTTAAAGTATGATTTTTTTTTCGTCCATCTGTATTCTTTATCTCAGTCTCTGACCTGAACAATTCTTACCTTCTTATCTAGTTCATGGATGTATTCAAGAATATCAAAATGCTTTTATAGTTGTTTTATAGCAGGAGAGGTTGGTCCTGACACCTAGTCTACCCTGTGGCCAGAAGGAAAAGTTACTATATAATTTTATAGGTAGACCAAGTAATTGATTTAAGTTTTTCCCTTTTCTCAATTTCGAAAATTCATTTATGCCTGTATCAATCCAAACAATACAATACAAAAACTAATAATGGCAAAGCTACTCATAGTTTTCCTGAACTCTAATCTCACCCTGTAGGGGTAATCAGTGGTAACATTTGGTGTGTATCATTTTATCCTTTCCACTTGTTCATAGCTATGTACAAGAACGTATGCAGATAGGTAATGCTTTGTTTCTTTTTTAACACAAGAGAACTATAGTTTATCTACTTATATGCAACTTGTTTTCTTAATTTACTTTGGACATCACTAATCATTAAATATGATTATAGCTCTACCCGCTTTTCCCCATTCATTTTTACATACAAACATGATATAATTTTACATAGAAGGGTTTGTTTTATACATGCTGTTTTAAAATTATATACATTTTTTCTCTTTTCATCCTTTTTATCTCCATTCTTGTCTTACCCCCATTCTACCACACTCACAGTATCAGATAACGAAAATTAACATCCTGGTTTGAGTCCTTATATTTTAAGATTTTTTTTTGTGTATTCTTTTTTTCTTTATTTATCTATGGTGCATTTTATAAGGGTATAAATTAAATCTACTAAGTGTAGAATATAAATATCTTAACATAATAACTAAGAAAATGCAGTGAAGGCTATGTATGTATTCTTATAAAATGATCATTAGTGGCAGACTGAAGTATAATTTGAACTTACTGCTCCATCACTCTTTGGCTGTGCAGTCTTTCCAAAATCATGTAACCTCTCTCAGTCATAAATTCTATCAGTATCAAATGAAAATAATAATTTTAATAATCCCTACCTCAAAGGCTTGCCCTGAGGAATATGTAAGTTAATACATATTAAAATGTTTCAGTTTGTGAAACATTATAGCACATCTCTAGTCACTGAAAATAGAAGGTGTGGCCTCTGATCTAAGAAATTTTCAGCACAATGGAAAGACAGAAATGGATATTTTCCCATAAGATGCCAAGGGCTACCTTGATGACACACATGAAGTCCTATGGTGTCCCAGAGGACAGGTGCTTGATTCAGCCCTGGGTGAGTAGAAAAGATCTGAGGATAAAAACGATGTTTAGAGCTGATGCTTGGGTCTTGCACTGACGAAAGAGTTGGAGTGGGTATTGAAATTATATGAATAGTAGATATTATTCTTAGTATTGATATGCTTCTTTCTTTTTCTTTTAGGACAACTGATTTACCAAGTTCAGTCACCTGATGAAGGGGCTCTAGTGAATGCTGCTAGAAATTTTGGGTTCGTTTTTAAGTCTCGGACCCCAGAGACAATAACAATAGAAGAATTGGGAACACTAGTTACTTATCAATTGCTTGCCTTTTTGGACTTCAACAATATAAGAAAAAGGATGTCTGTCATAGGTATGGCTGGTAGCTGAGATTATTTTTGATCTTTTGATAGCATAGTGGTCATTTTGATGCCTTTGAAAGATTCTTTTACTCTTGAACTCTTGTGTCCCTCAACTTAGCTTCCACACTGTAGTAATATATAAATGCCATTTAACAAGTGCCTATTATGTGCCAGGAACTGTCCTAAATGCTTTACATGAGTATTTGTAGCAATGAAATGACAAAAAATATCAAAATTAAAATAAATTAAGAAATAGAAACCACAAAAACTGCTCTACATGAATTAACAGACTTAATTGTCACAACAATCATTGCAATATCTTCCAAATCATTCCCCCTTATAATAATTTCATATGCTGATACCAAGATTTTTTTTATTTCCCTAAAACATAGACCTGATTTTGCCTTCCCTTAGTTAAAAAACATTGGTGGCTTCCCAAAATTTAAAGGATAAAGTCCTTAGTCATGATAAGCAAGATGATTTGCAATCTGATATCGGCCTACTTTTCTTCTGCTTCCCCCAACTTTGAGCTGCAGCCTCATCGGACCTCACCCCTCCCAGGTACGCTGTGCACTTTTACACCCTTTGTGCACGCTGCTCCCCCTGTCTAAAGCATGCCTTTCCCTCACCTCTCCCCTTGGAATCTCCTACTCATCTGGTAATGTCCAAATCAAATGCCATCTCGTCTCTCAGTTCCTTCACATCTCCTTTGTGTTCCCCAGAGCCCCTTGTTCATAACACCAGTGTGATATCAGTCCCATGATACTATTACTGTCCCAGTCAGTAGACTGTGTGCCACCTGAGGGCAGGTGCTATGCCTTCATCATCTTAAACTGCCCAGGCCAATCATGGAGCTTGGTTTTCTACAAATGTTTGTTAAGTAAAATCCAACCCACATTTTATAACTTATGAATATCCTGCTCAGCACATTAAAACAATTTCCAACTGTGGAAAACACATGTATATATGTAATGGCAGGGTTTTTGGTCTCGAACCACTGGAAATTAGACCCGAGAGATTGTCTTAGCAGGTAAGAACAAAACAACATCTGAGGATGTTTATTTTTATTTCTTATGACAACAGAATGTAGCCAGTCATCAGTGCAACTGAGAGGCGTGCTGGCCACACTGGGTGTGGCCTCATCTGCCAGCAGGAGCGATCTCCCCTGTACAGCCTCAGGGGAGGTGTTACTGACGCTGGTTTAGACCAAAACGGGTTTCTCTTTGCTCTGAGGGTGTTGACAAAGATCTAAGATTGCTACACAGGGAGATGCTTGGCTTTTGCTCAGTGCTGGTCACCATGACAGGCTGTGGAGAAATTGCAGCCTAACCACAAACATCAGATGTTTGCTTTAATGGATCCCATATGAAGAAAGGTAATGCTCCACCACAGATTTCATGGAGGTTTGCTGGCTTTATTTTGGTTCTGCCTGGTTTTTAAGCAGGAGGAATTTAAGAGGGAGTCCACTAGGGTAGAAAAGTCTCTGTTTGATAGCAAGGCAAGAAAAACCATCCTGGTCTCATGGTCATCACATGGGTTGGTTTGCGGGGACAACACCTTGATGTTCAGAGATTTGTGGTGCTTGCCGCTGCTGCGCCTCCTTCTTTTTTTGTTTTCCCTTCTTCCTCCCCTCCTCCTCCTCCTTCCTCTTCTTCTGGTCCTCCTCCTCCTCCTTCTTTCTTTTGTGGGAAGAGAGGCAATCATTCATCGAATCATCAAGGTATAGTTTCAATACCTATAGTACTTTCATTCTGGGGAAAGAGCCCTTATTTAAGTCAGAGGAATCTGAATAAAAATTGATTTCTGTTTATAGAGAAAATTCAAAGATAGTTATGAATGGAGACAACTGTCAGATAATCATTAAAGAAGTATAAATTACAATTAGCTCCTTGAAAAGCCCTTCTAAGGTAGTTAGATAAAGGTTGGCCAATTCTAAGCTTGCTTTAGACATTGTCATAGCACAAATCATGCTACTACGTGACAGGCATTTCCTTGAGTGGTGTATGAGCAGCTGAGATATGACAAAGGAGAATTATCTGTCATCCTTCACTGCGCTGCTGTTACATCTACTTAGAAGCCGTTTCTGACCTTTTCCTTTCTTCTGTGTCACAAAGGCATAGCTGCTGCTTTTAATGAATTTTGTGCAATTATAATTCATTTTAATTAAACAAATATCTATTAAGTGCCTAACTATGTTCTAGAGCGGTGGTTCTCAACCTTCCTAATGCTGTGGCCCTTTAATACAGCTCTTGTCAGTCGTGACTCACAGGTTGAGAACTGCTGTTCTTGAAAGTAAGGTAGCATGTGAAAAACTGAAAGATATTTTGTGTCCCTGCATCCAAGAGAACATAGTGAAACAGGGTAGAAAACAGACTGGAAAGGGAAGACCTTGATTTTGAGCCCTCTATGTGCTATGGTAAGCAGCAGTACAAAAATGACTCTGGCTGGAATATACAGAAGAGTTTGGAAGGACACAGGGGAGGGATGAGTAAAGCCAGTTAGGTTAACATGATTAACCTAAGTGATAGAGACATTCATAGCTTTGATTAGATATATGGGTAGAGAAGGGGTAAGAACTATGAGTGTTGCCCAGATTTACAGTTTGGGAGACTGAGTGGATGTTGAAGCGGATTACTGAGACTAGGGATATCTGGGGGAGCAGCTAATTACTGGAGGAAGGTAACATGTTCAGTATGAGTTTGAAGACCTGGGCATATTCAAGAGATATTTAGTTGGTAGTTAGATGTACAAGTCAGAGGGAGTGCTGGAAATGGATTAGGTATAAGATGTACTTTTGAGAGCAATCAGTCTGTTGATGGAAACTGAAGCTGGAGACATGAATGCAGTAGCCCAGGGAGAGTATGAAGGATGGAAAGAGAAAAAGACCCTTAGTAAGTCTCTGAAGAACACCAACATTTAAAGGGCAAGCAATGCAAGAAGATTCTTTAACCTAAAAACTATGACCCCTGTCCAGGCTCTGGCCACATGTTATCTTCTCCATTTAAAACTGTTATGTTCTTTTAAATTTATTTTAAAAAGGGTTAACTTCTGAGAAGACTGAGAAGCCTTTGAGCAGAAATGACCAGAAGCCTTGGATGAAAAGAGTTATAAAATTTGCTGAGCTGCTGAGGAAAATGTTTGGTGCATGAACTTAACCAGAATTCCATTATATTGGATTTGCACAAATTTAAAGGAATGGATGCTGGGTTAAGAGAAAGCTTCAGGATGGAAAATATTTATTAAATCACAAAATTGTGCAGCTGGAAAGGACTTCTGTAGTTAGATCATTCAAACATCTCCTTTTTATTTGTAGAAGCTGAGACATAGAGATGGTAAAGGACTTGCACAGATTGCAATGAGTTTTTTTTTATCCCCCAATATGGGCAATTAGAGCTAAAGTAAGTACAAGAAAAACTTTATGAGTTCTAGCAATTAGGAAAGCTGAATAAGACAAGACCTAGACAAAGCCAAGGACCAAAAAACTTCTAGAGTGCATTAAATCTGTGCAAGCCAGGAGGAGGAAACTAGAATAGATTGTGTTGGCTAAGGGTAGTTAAAGGTTAGAGGGGAAAGTAACTTATTATATATATATTTTGTGAGACAGAGTCTTAAGCTGTCATCCTGGGTAGAGGGTCGTAGAATCCATCACAGCTCATAGCAACCTCAAACTCTTGGGCTTAAGCAATTCTCTTGCCTCAGCCTCCCAAGTAGCTGGGACTACAGGTGCTGGCTATTTTTTTTATTATTGTTATTGCAGTTGTCATTGTTTAGCTGGCCCTGGCTGGGTTCGAACCTGCGACCCTCGGTACATGTGGCTGGTACAGTAACCACTGTGCTATGGGCACTGAACTGGAAAGTAACTTATTGTATTTTGGTATTTATATTTAAAAAAATCAAGCTGTAAATTTCACATCCCATTACATTAATAGATAATATTTATGTTCATCTGTTTTGAGGCATTCTATTTTTAGAGAAAAGGCATAATTGAAAGGAAAGCACTCAAATGATGAACCTTGTGAGGGTTAGAGTGTTCTGACCATGAAATTGTGACCCAGGTGGTTATTCTTGGGAAGAATCACATGGCTATGTCATTCATTCTTTCATTCATTTAACAAATAATTATGAAGTGTCTATTTCATGTCAAGGTATAAAACCAAACCTATAAAGTTAGGACAAGTGTTCTGTGGTTTACAATAAAGATTTTTCTGATAGCAATTTGTGGGTAGGATTGGAGATGAGGGGAGCCTAATAGGGGGTGCAGTCCCACATTGGGAATTACAGGCTGAAAACACAGTTCTATTAATACAGATTTCCAATAGGAAAGGGTGAAAATTTTATTTTTTAAAAGCCTTCTGTGAGATATGCTTGCAGCCAGGATTGTGACCCAGGAATAAACTGCCAAGAAAGAGTAAAGGGGGTAGAGAAATGTGCCAGTGAGGACTAAGAACAAATGCCCAAGCCATGATTTTGAGTGATTAGAATTCCATAAAGAGATGATTTGGAGTAACAATGATATCGAATTGAACAGTAGTAGGTCTTGAATTTCACACCAGGAGATGGGCAAACAAAGCTCTTCATTCCTCTCAACATGGGGGTCTAATTTAAGTGTATCAACCCTTCAGAAGTAGTAGGCAAGAAAAATAGGAAGGTATTATGTATCAGAATAAAAATACTTGTTTCTGATTTTGAGAAATCAAAGGATTTCAGTAGACAGAGTATTTCTAAATTAATAAAATAGGAATAAAGCCAAAGACTTAGGTAATAACCTGCTAACCAGAGACACTGAGTGTTTTATTTACTACTGTCTAAAACATTATGCCCATTTCCAAATTGCCTGATTGGAGCCTTGGGAGAGTCTAATTTTGATGGATTTCCTTGATTGTAATCTGCTTTTCCTAACTTTTTTTACTTTTTTCAGTTCGAAACCCAGAAGGACAGATTAAGCTTTATTCCAAAGGAGCAGATACTATTCTGTTTGAAAAACTTCATCCTTCCAATGGAGACCTTCTGACTCTGACATCAGACCATCTTAGTGTAAGTGCCTCTGTCTTAAAGTTACCTCGGTGGCCCTTTTGCCATCTCCTATAGTTAGGTCTTGTTTTAAAAATATCAGCTAAACGATCTGACTACTGAAATAGAAAGCATCTGGAGAGCAGTTCCACAGGAAACTGTGCCAATGAATGTCTGAAAACTGGCATATGGACCCCTTCCTGCCCTGCTGGGAGGCCAGTTGGTCTCATCACAGGTGGATTAACACACAGCAGCTGAGAAGTAGCCACAGCGTGTGGGCTCCTGAACTCAGGCCAGGCCCAGGCTGGCGGTGCTTTACGACCACCTATGAAACCTGCTTACAGTCCCCTGCAGCTTCAAGTTGCTGCTCTTTGGGGGCCTGGACTGGTTCTGGGAAGTGGAGCTAGAGAGTTGCTTTTGCTTGGGTTCTGATGTGTTTGGTACCAATGGAATGTTTCATGATTATCTCGAGGGAATGGTTTAGGGTTGTGTTTTTTTTTTTTTTCTTTGTATTTTTTTTCTTTTTTTAAAATTTCAGATTAATAAGAGGGTACCAACGACTAGGTTACATTGCTTGCATTTCTTAGGTGAAGTTCAGTTTGTAGCCCTATACCCCGGGGGTGTGCTATACACCCTTAGGGCTGTGTTTAGGTGGGAAGAGGACAATAGTACCTGGAGCCAGCTTTATGCTCTAAGGGCCTTTTTATTTAGGTCATAAATCATAATGACCCGTTGTGTCCCCAAGGCATCAAATTGGTACATTCTAAGACCAGTGTAATTTCTTTCTAACAGCTTTCCAAAGGAAGCAGGAGAGATCTTTGGTACACTTTTGTTTTTCTTTCAAGAAAGTAAGAGCCTGTGAATTAATATGAATTAATGTTACTTGGTCAAACCTGGCATTCTTGTGTCTCTCTAATGTTTGTTTGAAGTTCCGTTTAAACCCATGTGAACTTTGAGGACATCTGGTCAAAACTCTCATTTTCTCATTGATTTCTTTCCTTTAGAAAATTATTGAAGATTTACGTTCTTTGTTAGGCCCTATATTTAATATAAAACATTCCCTGAATCTTTAAAACAAACAAATAAACTAAAAAAAAAAAAACAACCAAAAAAATCCTCTGCTTGACTTTAAGTTTAAAAAAAACGAGGGCTTAATTATATTGGTTACACACATAGCTATTGTTTTTGTCTTTTCAATAGAGCGTTCTTGATTTTCTTTTAATCTTTTCCAGAAGGCCGGCATGGTCATTTTAATTTTTTTTCTTATGAAAACAACATATCTGATCTGATATGTTGACAAGTATCTGATTTTTGCCATTACTCAAACACCAAGGCCCTGGATTTTTATATGGTCTCCTTTCATACTCAAGTATGGGGAGGCTCGTTTGGTCTTTTTATATGAGTATGTCAAATAATTGTTTTTTCAGCTAATATCTACTTAACTTGCTCTTTGCTTCATTCATTGTATTCATTTTGGCTTCTAGATTCTGAGGTTTTAAATTTGTATTTAATTATTGATTTTGAATTGTTTAATGATAGGAAAAGACCTTGTTCAAATGCTCATTTAGGATTAAACTTGCGTTTCATGTGCTAATTAAATAACTTAAATCATCTGTGCCCTTTTGTAATGTCCTCTTAGAGTTGATTCACTGTTGTACAGAACAGAGGGGAAGGCACTGGAATTGCCCAGTGGGGTTGCAAGCCATGAAGTGTTTGTGCGAATTAAGAGGACAAAGATCATTAGGAGGCAGTAACTAGATTTCCAGATCAATAGAGGACTCAGTGGTGGTCTCGAAAGGCAGGACTTATAAAATGTGATTGCGATATTCAAAGCGCTACCCACTGCCTGTGAGATAAATTTGGATAATTTTTCTCATAAACTCTCTGAGCTAAACCACATCATTGCAGGACGTGCTGACTTTTCTTTCTATTTACTTAATTAGGAAATGTCATGGAATAACCTGTGTCTGCCCATAAACCTATATCTGTCCCACGAACCGAAACGACAGAGAAGACGTGTTCAATGGCTATAAAAACTCTTTGCTTACAGCTTAGAGGCCCATAAAATGACCACAGGAGACACAGGGGAAGTGGGAGTTTTTTAGGATTTCCCTAAAGCAATCTACATGTGTTTCTAGTTATTGCGGCTGTGTGAGACGCTTAGCAATTACCCATTTCTTATTCTCCCAGCCCCATTAGGTATCATTTGGGATTGCTAGTTTACTGAGATGCTGAAAGAAAAAGCATGTATGTTTTCCTAATCAGTCTGACTTATTATTCAATACTAACTTCATAGAATATAATTTCCAAAAACAATGATTTATTTAAAAACTCACCCGACTTCATCATGACGGTATCCTTAACATTTCAAACAACTTTTTATTATTAAAATAAAACTTTAATATAGCAAAACATAAACGTTTCATAGAAGAGTTGAGAATGGGAAGTAGAAGTGGCCTCCTGGCTTAGTCCTGCTTCCCAGAGGCAACCCCTTCCTTTCTCTCCCCTAGGGGTTATTATTATAACCTTAAGCAATATGCGTAAGCATCTGTTATCTGACTATTTAACATTTATTTATTCATTTATTATTTACTTTTACCCTTTTATTATGGAAAATTTCAAGCAGATACAAAAGGAGACCTCAATTCATTTTAGCCAGTAGATGTATTACTGGTGATAAGACTTTTTGGTAGGGTGTCACGCTGCCCTTCCTTGAGACAGGCTTCTGCCCTTGATTTGAGAGCTATGGATCCTCTAAAGATCTTTTCACAGGAAGCTAAAGCCTGTAAAACACACTGGGTCCCTCTCATGGGAGAAAATGCTTCCTTCAGCATGGATAGGCTGGAAGCAACAGCCTTTGCTGCTTTAAATGAATATGTCAAGTCCTGGGCACCGCTGATTGCGTCTCAACTAGCACACACTGCAGCAGCTATTTCAGCTGTCTTTTGGGGGAAGCCTCGTTCCCTTGAATGTTTTAACCTCATAGAAAGTAAATACAAAATATATACATGCATCTCCCAAGTGCTCTGGGGACAATATGCATTTGAGTGAATATTTCTTACCTGCTGTGGTTGTTACTGCTGTGCGTACTGTTTCTCATGGTTCCTAAATCTATGTCTTCTCTGGCAGGAATTTGCAGGGGAAGGCCTTCGAACCTTGGCCATTGCGTACAGAGATCTGGATGACGCGTACTTTAAAGAGTGGCATAAAATGCTTGAAGATGCAAATACTGCCACAGATGAGAGGGATGAACGGATAGCGGGGCTGTATGAAGAAATTGAAAAAGATTTGATGGTATGAGTTTAGAAGCACAATGGTTTGTGTTTACAGAAAGGATAATATGAGTTTAGAGAGCAAGCATAGGAATAAGCCGTTGGCTAAATCATCTTGCACACAGCAGATGTTCCTCTTTTAAACACTGAATCATGTTTTATAATGTTGGCTTTGGGTTTGCCCTGGATGGTCTTCCAAAGCCTAGAGGTTTATTTCTATTAGTAGCTTATGCAATTGGAAGTCCTCCAGGAGTAGAAGATAGTAGACACCCTACTCTTTCTCAATCTCTGTGTTATGTTTTTTTTTTTTTTTCTTCTCTGTTTATGACTTACCTTTTTAGAGCAGGAAGGGTTAAAACAAAATGATGTTATGTTTGGCTTGAGTAAACTGCTATGAAGAATGGGGCTATAGCTCTGTCTAAACCATTCCAAGCCTGTGAGATTCCGGTGCTATCTGTGCTATCCAGAGCATGCTCTATCCTAGGAACCACTCTTCTCTGAGACACCAGTGATTAGGAAGCTCATTGTGACTAAAGACTAGGGAGGGTACTAGGTTTTATTCACCTTTGGATGACAAATCACACAGGAACTTCATTTTTTAGTTTATGGCACATGCTGGTTTAATATAGGAAAATCACTGCACAGCTTTCTGACCGGAGGGTGAAGTCTTTCCTTTGAACTCCATTGTTGAAATTAAATGAGGAAGCAGCTGGGAAATTGTTAAGTCCTTAGAGGCTCAAATGTTTTCTGATCACTTATGCTAACATGTTATCTGAACCTATCAGTCTCCTATGTAAGTTCTAACTCCCAGAATCTCCGCCATTAAGTTGGCTTAAAATTCCTTTTGGGGTTCTTCCCAGCTCGCTTTTGCATATAATGGGAAGCTTGCTGTAGCAATGCACTGTCTTCAATTCCTGTTTCTTGTCTTCCAAATTCTGTGACTGAAAGCTGTAGATGGTTTGGATCTTGTTTGCAATCACTAACGTAAGATATTTTCTATTTTTCAATAAAGCTGCTAGGTGCTACTGCTATAGAAGATAAGTTGCAAGAGGGTGTTATTGAAACAGTTTCAAGTTTGTCACTAGCCAATATTAAGATATGGGTCCTCACAGGAGACAAACAAGGTAATTTGAAAATGTGTGATGTGATGTTTTGAAAAGAGGGAGATGACTTCTATAATAAAATTTTAATTAACCAGAAAGCTTGTTAGTTAGATATTTGTGCAGTCCTCCACATTGGAAAGAATTGAAATACCCCCCCCAAAAGTTAATATATTGCAAAAATCTACTACTTAAACAAAAGAAACAAAACCAACCTAACAAAACACTTTTTATAGTATAGTCTGGGGTTAGTTGAGTTTCAGTCCAATTGCTTCTTAAATATAAAGTTATATTTACAGGCAATGATGGTATTAAAAATGTTTAACAATTGGTTCACATGAGTATCGTACTCAGTGAGAACAGATATTGGACACTGAAAATCTCAGTTACTCATTTAATTTCTTGATGGTAGGGAAGTTTGGGGGAATCAATCAGGGTGATGAGAAGGCTTTGGAGAACCTCAAGGAAGCTGCTGTTTATCAACTGTTTATGGAAATATTTCATTTTTTCCAATAATAGCCACAGCTGTAGTAGTGCAACCTGGTTGAATTCCAGGACTGCCTGTGCAATGGTGCAGTGAGACTGGACCTACTTTCAGGCAAGACAAGATACCAAGTCATCAAAGAAAGTTATCAGTATACTGTTTCCTAAGAAACAAAAATGGATCAATATATTTTGGATCTATTGCTAACAGTAATGGTTAAAACAAAAGTGGTTTTATGCTTGGCTATAGTAAACTGAAAATATTCAATCAACTGGCACATACCTATTTTTAAGATTCTATCTACTTGTTGGGCACCGTTTAGTGCATTAAGATTCTATCTACTGTTGGGCAACTTTTAGAGCATTCTAGCACTGATGCGATTGATTAGTTCTCTGTACCTTCATTCAAATTACTGGTCATAAAAAATAAAAAGTAGGGAGTTAAGTCCTCAGGTGTATTACTAGACACAGATTCCTCTGAGCAGGGAAAGCTGTTCTAGAATTACACATATCCATGAATTTATTATAATTTCAATTTATTTTTTGAGACAGTCTCACTCTGTCAACCTGGGTAGAGTGTTGTGGCATTGCAGCTCACAGTAACCTCAAACTCTTGGGCCTGAACAATCTCCTTCCTCAGCCTCCTGATTAGCTGGGACTATAGGTGTCTTCTACAATGCCTGGCTAGTATTTTTACTTTTTATTTTTAGTAGAAATGGGGTCTTACTTTTGCTCAAGCTGGTCTCAAATTCCTGAGCTCAAGCAATCCACTGGCCTCCATTTCCCACAGTGCTAGGATTATAGGCGGGAGCCACCACCCCTGGCCTATAATTTCACTTTAATTTCTGATGTTTATACAAAGGATATACTGAGATTTTATCATTGCCATCCTGGATTTAGGAAAAAAATTAATAATTTCATAGAATTAGCTGGGGTCTAATGATTCTGTAGAGTTAGGAAGAATCAAATGTCTCTATTAATACATGAAAGGAGTTACCTAATTATCTCAGGCTCCATTTCTATAACATTAGAGAAGGAACTGCATATCATCTAATTTTCCAGTTCTCCAGTAGAGCAGTACTGGGTGGTTTTGAGATGATAGTTGAATTCCAAGTTCTATCCACTTAATGGAAAAATGGCAACATGTGTGGGAGAACTCTACAAATTTTGCATATTTGTTGTTCATATTTCTTGTTTGCATGTTTGTTGAACATTCTGTGAGTCTTTTTCTTCAATTTGTCTACCTTATCAGAATTGAATATTAGTTCAGTATTTTTGTCTCCAAAAGAAATATTTGGTATTTTGGGGCAAAAGCTTAATATTTGAACATGTCACTGTGTCATAATATCTTAAGGTATTTTCATGAGTGCTAATTTGGAAATTAAAAGATTCTTTAAAAACTAGATAAGAAGGCCAAGGATTCACAGATGTTGCTCTTCTCCATGGGTTTAGCAAGTGGTGAATTTGATCATGTAATCCAGGTCTTTAATTTCTTTCTGGGTTGCTTGTATTGATATTTTATCACCAATCATGCTCTCTCTGACGTTAAGGCTACAAGGGAGAACAGCCCCCGAAGTTTTATGAAAAATATTCATATGTTATTAAGGAATATTTTAACTGAGGTGGGCTTTATTTTATAACAGAAACTGCTATAAACATCGGTTATGCCTGCAACATGCTGACTGATGACATGAATGATGTGTTCATCATAGCAGGGAATACTGCCATAGAAGTGAGAGAAGAACTCAGGTAAGTGCTGAAGGAGGAAAGGAAGGAAAGGCAGAGGGAGGGAAGGGAGAAAAGATCAGGTAGTTGAAGAAGTGGAAAGGTATGCTATAGTTTCCTGTGGCCCCAACTTAGTATGGAGCTCATGTTTACTAAACTCCCATTCATTTTGGTGACAAACTAAGAAAAGTTTGGTATCAGTGGTGAATCATGGCCTTCAGGCTTCCAATATTTCTCAAATTTTTAGGAAAAAAATCAAATCATTTACATTGAATTGTCCTTTAAAATTGTGCATTGGTTGGTACCAGCTAGTTCTCGTGTGGTGATGAGTGACCAGCATCACTGAGGACACTTATTAAAAATTCCCAACTTCCTTCTGACCTACACATCAGGAATCGCCAGGGAATGGAGCATGGGAATTTGTATTTAATAAGCACCTAAATAAACTTATGTTCAGGTAAGTTTGGAAAACAGAGGTGTCGTAGATGGCATGAAAGTTGGAATAGAGTCATTTGGCATTAAACAAAGTAGGTATTTTGACATTAAACCAGACATACACTCTGATGAGAAATAAAGTACTGCAAAACATGTGTAAGTACTAAATAGTACCAGAAAATATAGAAGTGTTGAAATTAGAGTTAACAGTGGACAGACATTAAAGTTTGAAGCAATATTTTTGAATACCAACTTATTTTATTACCTTTTTGTTATTTCAGTTGGATGAGAACATTTAAAAACCTGCATTATTTTGGCAGAACTTTTAGAAATGCTGTCCTATAAAATTTTTTGCCCACTGCTGCTTGTAGTAGCTTCTCTAAGCTCAAGCTTCTTAGGTCTGCCCAGGCAGGTTGATGACTTAGAGGAAAGAGGCTTGCTTCTTGCTCCATTTTAGATGGAGCTAACCTTCCTTCAATATACAGCAGAGCACTGTGGCTTCTTGAATACGACTCCATCATTAACTTTTGTTCCTGAACCTTGAAAAAGAAGTCTTAAACAGCAGCATCACCAATTGACAGTATTTGTAGGACAAATCTCCCCACTTCTCTAACTTATCTAGAGTAGAGATTGCTATGTCATGCCGGTGAGAGCTTATGACTGGAGACTGCATATGTCTTTGCCAAGTAAAAATTGATAAATCTAATTAATTATTACTGATATTATGTAATTATTACTTATATAATTATTATTATTTTTTTGAGACAGAGTCTCACTATGTTGCCTTCAGTAGAGAATAGTGGAGTCACAGCTCACAGCAACCTCAAACTTTTGGGTTTAAGTGATTCTTTTGCTTCAGCCTCCCAGGTAGCTGGGACTACAGGCACCCACCACAACACCTGATTTTTTTTTTTTTGGTTACAGTTGTCATTGTTGTTTAGCTGGCCTGGGCTGGGTTCGAACCTGCCAGCCTTGGTGCATGTGGCTGGCACTGTAATCACTGTGCTGCGGGCGCTGAACCTTACTTAAATAATTTTAATGATAGATCCTAGGGTGTCTATTAGGGAAGTAATAATTTGTTTAATAAGCAATTAAAATTTTTTGTTTTTAGACTTTTTTTCTTTAAATGACCTTTTGTTTTGGGGGGTGGAATTTGACTTTTGCTGAAAGAATATAGATGCGAGCAGATTTAGATTTTAATGAGCCTATTGCTAAATATTTTGAGATGGTGCCCAGAAACAATACTGTAAGCGGTATACATGGATTACCTCATCTCATTCTCAAGCCGTCCAATGGTAGGCATCCTCATTCCCACTGCAGACTAGGACACTAAAGTACACAGCGGGCACATAATCTGCATGAACTGATCCCAGGTTCAGCTATATTTGAATCTAGGCAGCTTGGGCCAGGAGCCTATGTTCCTAATCACTTGCCATGTACTTCCCTGAGCACACCTTAGATATATTCTTACTTCCTTTAAATAATTAATCTAAAAAATACAGTTGTTGAGGCATCCCACTGCTTTACTCGAGTGAGTGGTCAGATACCAGATTAGCAACTAGAATCAAAATACAGTTCTAGGGGACACAGCAGATGTTAGAAAAAGAGTGGATTTCCTATCAACTGGATTCAAATTAAAATCTCAGCTTCAGGCTCACTGGCTGGCTGGGAGACTCTTGATGTATGTAACCTCTTCCTCATTTGTAAAATGGAGATGCAAATATCTATGCAGTAGATTATTTTATTTAGGGAATGAGACGAGAGGCAGACTTAAAGCTTTATGATTATTCTATGGGCTTCCTTCTTTCTTTCCTCTTTCCCTCTCTACTTCTTCCTTCCCCCCTTCCCTTTTCCTTCAGCCATTGATCCCAGTCTTTTCCTGAACAAGAACTACTTTTATTAGTATTTCCCCCATACGGGCAGAGAGCCTGGGACAGTGAGGAAAGAAAAAGTGGGATAAAATAGACAGCTTTTTGGAGGTAGAATGAATAGGGTTTGGAATTTGATTGGACGTGAAGAGAAGTAGAAGGAGGCTTTGTCATTTCTGGCTTGTCTGACTTTCATAGCCCCAAATAAGCTCAGGCGTGCAAGAAAAGAAAGTCATTACATTTTCTAAAACTGAACTTGAACCCTTTTCTGCATGATGACAGAACAATTAAACCAGGCACTTTCAGTTAAATTTAGTTCAAGTTGGAGAAGCACAATTGCCTCACCTGTCACTGCTCATCAGCGTCTGTCCTGCCGGCGTCAAGTGCTTCCCACGCCTGTGTCCCCGTCTGGTCTCTGTCTGGTCTCTGGGGTGGCTGGCTTTCCCTCTTGGCTGACTTCCACACTCTCCCAGGGAAACATGGAAAGTGTGGCTGCTCTTCCTCACCTCGATGTCCAAGAAGACTTGTGTTCTCCTGCAGCCACTTCAGTTCTCAAAATCCCTTTACTCTGCTCTCCTCCATGTCACTGAACCTCTATGGGAAGTGGCAACTGTGCAGTACTTGGATCCCTGAGACACCAGAGGATTCCATGCCCCACAGTGTTCTTCCATCCACTGTCAATGCAGCTGTGGGTTGGGACCCAGGCTTCTTGGAGCCAATGACCAGTATCTGAGCTCCCCTGCAAAGTCCCTCTTCCCTAGTGTGGGGTAGAGATAGAGAATAGGTAATTTCTTTCTACTCTGCTCCTTTTGACAACATTTTATGCCTCAACTCCTTTAAGGATTAGTCTTTTGAGACTTTAGGAAACTGTTTTTCTTTCTTTTCAAAAAGCCCAATTGCGGAGGCAGGAGACTCGCTTGAGCCCAGGAGTTGGAGGTTGCTGTGAGCTGTAATGCCACGGCACTCTGCCCAGGGGAACAGCTTGAGGCTCTGTCTCAAAAAAAAAAAAAAAAAAAAAAAAGCCCAATTAGCAAAATTATAGATGGCTGGAGTTCAGAATGATGATACTGCTATGAGTTTCAAGAGTCTAATTTGATGCTCAAAAAGTAAGATTTTGATTCTTTTCTTGGCTCTGTCAGGTCCTCATGAGGCAAGGCACATTTCTAAGTAAACAGAGAGGGAGGGGCACCCATGGTCCAGGTGGTGACTGGAGAAGGTTGCTTGGGTTAATCTCAAGATTTAATCTCCCTGAATTTGGTTCACTAAATAGATGACACAATGATCATTGTGTGGAAGGAATCTGGAGAAATAGATATTATTTACATACTGTTGTTAGGAGTTAAAATTGACAGAAACTCTCCAGAGGGCCAACTGGCTTTCTATTTCAAAATTACACATATGTGTACTTTTGACTTAATAAGACTTCTGGAAATTTCCCTTAAGAAAACAAATAAACAAATGTATGAATTTGTAGATTAAGAAATATTTATAACTGCATCAATTATGATAACAGAAATTAGAAATAGGTCAAATACCCAACCATGAAGAATTTTTATTAAACATCATGATATATACCTGCAATGGAATGCCATATGGTCATTAAAAGTGTGTATTTATTGACACTGGAAAATGTCCATGATATTTGTAAGTGAGAAATGAGATTACAAAACATGCATAGTATAATTCCTTTCTTTTTGCAAAAAAGTACATATGTATGTACATATATCTACCTCCCTATCTGGAACACATATACAAAGCTTCTCTCTCTGGGTAAAAGAATTATGGATGACATTTACAAGCTTCTTTATGGCTCTTTGTATTGTCTGAAGTTGTAAGATAATAGTGTTCACATAATGCTATTACAGCTAGGAAAAAAGCTTAAAAAATTATCTTCTTTTTTTTAATGAGAAGAAAAAATATTCAGAAGAAAATATAGAATTTCCAGCTAGATACAATATTTCAGGACCCTTGAGGCCACCTTGCTCAATGACAGATAATGTTTATTTCAACCTAGACTTGGAAGTAAGTTCATTCTTTAAGTCTAAGACATAGACGTAATGTATGGTAGAAAATTCTATATAAGTAGAATCAATACATTTATAGAATACACTTGCTGAATATCAGGATTAAGGGGGAAAAGAGCATATGAGAAAAGTTAGTGCTTGAAGGGACTCTCTATTCTCCTAATCTCAGCCACTTATATGGAAGCTCATAACTTTGGGGATGAAATGTTGAAATCTTAAATTTGCACCATTTCATTGTCTTGGGTTTTGAGCTCAATAGGAGTTCATGAAAGAAATAAAAAAGACAGGATCTAACAACAACAACAACAAGAATAGGATGTGAGTGATAATGGGTATTAGAAGGAAATACTCTAAATGCTTATATTTTAACATATCAAGTATCTTTAGATATTACATAAACACGAATATGCAATTTTCATGCATATCATGCCTATGGCTTATTTCAAACTTAGTGTCATGAAACCATTTTAGACACTTTGAATCTTGGGTTGATTTTGCTGCCACACCTGCTCTAGTATTATGGGTATGTCCAGAAAACTGCAATTAAACCCTGTTATGGTTTATGAAGAGATTGCTGCATTGATTACATTTCAGTGATACTATCTCTTCTGGTCAAAGGAAAAGAGACTGAAAATATAATTTTGCTTGGTGTGACAAGGTAACTCATTCCATATTTAATTTTCATAGCATGAATCACGTTGTTAGAAAAATTCATGTCCTCTAACTAAACCCTGAAGTCACTCCACTGTCTCTGAGAAGTATCTCAGTGATATACCTAGGAATTGCTATTTCCTCTTTCATCAACAAAATATGCAAGGGTATTTTTTGAACGCCTCCCTGGTGAAAAGTTGTTTGTTTGAGTGAGCAGTGTTCTCAAATGCAGATAACTCAGGGCCAGTCATACCATCTGGGCTATCTGAAGACATCAGGGAGTGGTGGTGCCCTTGGTGAAGGGAAATATCATGGTGGTCGTTAAGTCAAAGAGATTCTTTAAGACGCTGTGCAGGGCAGACAAACAAATGCAGCTTGGTCCTAATTCCTAACTACCAGTCACCCAGGCAAAATGTCTTAGTGAGTTAAATGTTTCTCATAAGTCATAAAATTTTAGAGCACTTAAGTAATCTTGGAGACTTACTAGTACGTGCTGGTGCGGCAGTCCAAGTTTTCATAGCTGTTATCTATTTTGACAGGTTGAGTTACTAGTCAAACTGAATAACTGGCCTCATTCCCCTAATTTCTAATAATAAAACTAGTTCAGGGGCTGAATGTCTTAAAGGCATCTTAGGTCATTAGAAATGGCATGAGGTCTTGAAATTGCAATTGCAAGTACTATCTTCTTTTCTCCACTGTTGGCAGGTAAGTAGGCTGTCCCTTAACTGCCCCTGTGGCACTATGTCTGAGTCCAGCCTGGAGGCAGCCTGTGGATGACTCCAGGTGTCAGCCAGTTTAGTGGGATGGACTAGGAACCAGGAATTAGAAGACCTGTGTTCTAGCCCTGGGTCTATCACTGCCCTATCAAGTGACTAGAGGTCAGTTAACTCAACTATGGGCACATGAGATGCCAACCTTGTACCTAAACCCAGATCTTCTCAGGTTCTAAGCCCTAAGTTCTAGCTTTTGTATCAAAGTCCAAATTGTCTTCTTTTAAACTTGATGTTGTAGTTTCAATCCATTCCTTACAGATCCTTTTGATGTTTGAATATACAGTACCCTAAGAGGACTGACTGAACGACTTCTTTCCCATTCTGCTTTTTTTTTGTAGGTTGCATGCAAGCCAGCACGGGCCTAACTGTGCTTTGCTGTGCTTGTGGTGGCATGGGGCTGTGAATGCCACAGTCGCCTCAACTATTAATGCATTCCTGCATGCCAACATTGTAATAAACTGCCCTTCATTACACAGCCTGGAAAAAACAGGCACTCTTTTGTTTAAGCATTTATTATTTATAGTCTGCGGTTAAGCATTGTGTGTTATGCCGGCAAAAATGTATAGTTCCTAGTCATTGAAGGGAATTATGTGAAGCTTTTTCCCTCCCTAATAAATTGCTTTTGTGAGAACCAGCTGGTGTTTGAAGAGCTAAGTTCCAGGAAGAAAAAGAAATGAGACAGCTATAGAGCATGGGCAAAGCTCTGAAAACGTGAGAGCCCAGTGGGGCGGCAGACGTTGGCCTGAGCAGAGAGAATGCAGTGGAAAGCTCAGCAGAGCTGGAAACACTGTCCCTTTTCTGCCTGGAAAAGGGTTCATGGGAGATGTTAGGAAGACAGTTTAGGGGGAAAAAAATCCTAAGTAAATAGAATTTCAGCCAATACTTTCATGAACTTCACCCTTCTTAGGAATGTTTTCATTCTCTGGGGGAAAAACAGAGATTGAGTCATTTATCCAGCGAGTGAGAACTTTACTAAAAAGGAAACCTTGGGAGGTGTTTTCCCCGTGGTGCTTTCTCAAGACCCAATTTATGAGCTTTGCGACATGGTCAGAGAAATGCTCATTTTAAAGGAACTCGTCTCCCTTGCTTCCTTCATTATAAGAGACTGTAAATTTTCATGACTGTGAGGAGGAGCCCCCGACATGGTTATCTTATGTAAAAGCCTGATCCTCCCACTTCGAACAATGATTTTTCACGTCTGTTTTGCCTCGCTTGCTCCACCATAACGCCCTCAGCTTCATGCATAGCACTCTGACTTTATAAATCTTTTAGTTTGATTCTGCAAACTGATTGCTAAATGTATGATATCATCCGTGGAACCATGTGACCTCCGGGTTCCTAAATATAGGATGTGATTTTGGTGCCGGACGGCAGAAGGGGATGTTGAGCCAGAGCATAAGGTGTTTTTTCCCTTCTTGTTTTCTTTTTGTTTTTTTACTTAGTATGTAAACAATTAGTGTTACGTTTTTAAATAATTAGAAAGCCAAGGGCTGAAATGTTATTTTGGTGCACTAGACACTCTCTTCTTTCAGAGGAGACTTAGAATAAAACCATTCTAATAAATGTTTTCTACATAGGACGAGCCTTTAGGGGAACCAGTTCATTTTGCTGGAAGCCAAAACAGTCACTTTCTGGTCTAGCACTCACTCCCCATTTTCTCCACTTGTAAATGCAGTTGTTACCCAAACTGGTAGCTCTGTGCTTGTGGTTGAAGCTTCTGTAGTCACGGCAGCTTGCTCTATGTTACTTCAAAGACTATGAACCAAGTGTTCTTGGAGAGGAAATTTCCCTTCCATTAAAGACATCATCTTTCCATTTTGAGAACAGTAAAATGCCACTTCTGAGGGTGCTCTCTCACCATATGCTCTTCCTCCTGAATGGTGGAGATGCATGGTGTGTGGGCAGGGGTGTTTTATAGCTACTGTTAATTAGATGTAGAGCATTTGGAGGGAGTTTCCCTTCAGACGGACCCTCTACATTTTGGTGTCTGTTTCTTTCCCAGAAGATTTATTCTATTGTTTGAGTTGATTAGTATAATTTTTTTTTGCTTAAAATAGTCTACTATAATGACTGGGCCAATTCAGTAAATACTGTCCTTGTCAAACGATACTGTTTTTATTGTCAAATTTAAAATAAAATGTGTTTCTCAGAGGAGTGTTTTAAGCTGGGTAGTATCACACTATATCTCAAATTGATGAATTTATTTTATACATGGATGCTTTGGAATTCCTAGAAGATCTCATCAGTTGGCTTTAGTCTTTTGCTTTTCCTTATTTAAAACCATTGCAGGCCAGATTGTGGTTCTTAAGTCCCAGCAGCTCAGGCAACTTCATGTACCAAATCTACCAACTATCCCCTAGTTCCAATCCAGCTCACGACGGTGATTTAGCTTTTAGGTAATTTGAAACATTTAAAATGATTCTGTTTTCATCATGTTTACCCTCCTAACATCCTGGATTCTGGAAATTTGCTATGGTATTCCCATCACAAAGAATCATTCAGTTTGCTTACTGAAACTGGATCGTATGCCATATTCTGTCTGAATGGTGATGAAATGAATTTACCTCTAGGCCAGTCTCTTGTTAGCGTTAATAGGTATGCTCTGTATAGTTTGTTATGATTTGTGTCCCCCCACCTCTTTTAAGGAAAGCAAAGGAAAATTTGTTTGGACAAAATAGAAGTTTTTCCAACGGCCACGTAGTTTGTGAAAAAAAGCAGCAGCTGGAGCTGGACTCTGTTGTAGAAGAAACAGTAACAGGAGATTATGCCTTAATCATAAATGGCCACAGTTTGGTGAGTTTGCTTAAGGCTTTTGTCCTTTCTTTTCCTTCACCCCCAATAATCATCTCTTTTATGCTGGATAATGAGACCTCCTTTTAAGTTTTCAAAAAAAAAAAAATCACACTAGTTGAAACAGGGCATATGCAACGATTTCCTGTTTGCAGGGGGCAAGGAAACTTTTAATATATATTTCATATATCATTGTTTGAACCAGCACAGTAAAAGGGAAGCTCTGAAGGAATACTGAAATTTGCAGAATATTAATCTTGTCCAAATGACTGTGGGCCACTTAGCAGTATTGTTTAAGTGCTTTTCTAAAGGGGAGTGTCATAGCTCACTGTTACTTAATTAAAATAATGCAACTGGAGTAATATCTTGTAATTATTGCTCTTGCTAATGTTTGTGATCTGCAGAGCACAACCTGACCTTCATATAATTACTATACCAAATTATTGCCATTAAGATACCTCTGGTGGTCTTTGAAAATAGCAGCATTTTACAGCAATGCCAAACAATTTACTTTGATTAGGAAATCTGGTTTTTGTCATAGTAGAATAAACTTGCATTGTACTTTTAATGTAGTTTAGCTTCCAAATCCTGAACAAGTATCAAAATGCTCTTCTGCGTTTCTAATTTAGAATGCTAATTTCTAATTTAGAATACTAAACTAGAATTCTAATTGCACTACAGTGAAATTATTGTTTGTATTCACAAAGAACTGATCTTACATCTTTCTCTGTCTTTGATAATTATTTTTCATGTTGGAGTTTGGAAAATAAATGTATCTTCTTGTAGACAGTTTCTGAAAGGACAAAAGGATTTGGATATGAGGTATTGTGTTTTCCCCTTTGTGATGAGCTGTCTGTTAGCTCTTAGTGCTTAGAGTATTATCCAGCTGGATTCCAGACGTAATGATGTGTTGCCTTCTACACCATGGAAAGTTACAGAGCTCAGTTGCAGGCCAAGCTCAGTTGGAAGTTTGTCTACATGACACAAACTTCTCCCTTGCACAAATGAACGGCAAGTGAAAATTGTAAGCCCGTTGGCTGGAACTTGGAGCTGGTGGCCTCCAAGGTGTCCAGGGGCCACCATATGGAAAGGGTGTCTAGTGAGTGGTACTTTGACTTTCTCTCAGGCTCAAAGAAGACAGTGTGTGGTGGAGGTAGAGTGCTCAGGTGATAATTTATCCTATTTTCTGTCTCTAAATGTGTTAACAGAAGGAATAAGACAGATGCTCCTCAAAAACCCTTTCAGCTTCAAAGCCTTCACCTTCAAAGCTCATGAAACTATGAAGTGTCATTTTTCATTTAAGGAGAACTGATCGTGTTTCTGCTAATATGGTCAGAAGCTTTTTTTTTTTAAATCATGATTCCAATTTGCTTGAATCCTGATGCTTTGCAGAATATCATCAGGCCCTTTTTTCCCCTCAGAGTCTGAACATAGTTTTTTATTTGTTGTTGATGATGATGATGATGAGAGAGAAAGAGAGAGAAAGAAAAATAAAAAAAAGCAGCCAGTTACATGCTTTCTCTTTCAGAAAAGGTGATAATATTTGAGAATGCTGACTCACAATTTCCTGTAGGAATTATAGGCCTGGGCATGAGAATTTTCTACACCACAGTTACGTTTTCATGTTCATCTACCCATCCGTCTCTTCATATCATTAGCATTTATTATGCATTCTAGAGTTGGAGAGGAAGGATGTGAATAGAACATGGTCCTTGTTTTAAGGATTACTGCCTAGGGTCACACACTAGTACAGTCACACAGTAGTATGACAAATAACAGAAGAAGGATGAACACAATACTTTGAGAGCACAGGGGAGACGTATTTATCTGCTTATGGGAAAATCTAAGAAGACTTCTTGGAGGAGGTGATGCTTTCAAGTAGAGGTGATAGCAAGTACGAAGGCACGAAAGCAAGAAAGAACCTGTTAAATCATAGGGAAGAAGCAATTTTCCATGGTAGAAATAAAGTGTAGACTGAAAGGTGATGGGAGAAGAAAAACTCAAAAGGATTGTAGGGGTAGAGTGTGCTGGGCTATGAATGTGTTACAAAGGATTCACTCAGAGACACCGGTGACTCAGAATTTAAGGGAATTTCTGTTTTCTCTTACGGTGTTTATCAAAGAATGTACAGGGAAATGTTTTCTGGAAAAAATTTGCACAGTTACTGAGTAAAGACAACACTTTCTTTTCTAGTACTTTCTTGGCATACCTAAAGACGCTTATGCGTTTAGATAGCAGCAAGGGTGGAAATAGCTGGAGAACCCTGTCTGAGTACAGATTGCATTCCACTGTGTCGCACCAGCCTCTCTTGGTTTCCATCACTGTGTTTTTTAAGGGCTAATCTCCAGATCACCTGCTTTTCAAATTGCCTACACAATCACAAAAAGCCCACTAAATATACAAAACAATAAGGCAAAGGAAACAAAAAGCCCCTCACCGAGAACAAACAAATCACCATCATTTGTAGTTCTTTCTCAACTTGGTGACAGCCAATAGTTTCCATCTTTTGCTTTCACTAATGTTAGTGGTTTCTAGAACTTTTCTAGCATTTAACTCCACCTCTCCAGTGTAGCACGATACGGCATTAAGGGAGGCCCGCAAAGTGCAGCATCTTATTTTAATTTTAAAATTCCTCAGCTCTTACTAGGGGCTCATACCCATTTCCTTAGTTTTTGTTGCCTGTGTAAACCTGACTCAGCAATGACCGGATATGAATGAAGTGGTTTAGAAAAGACATCTGCTGAGAAACAAGACATTTGCTTCCCAAATGATGACTCTCCTTTATTGTTCCCTACTCTTCTCTGGATTTTGTCTTTAATAACGTAGGCCCATGCACTAGAAAGTGATGTGAAGAATGACCTCCTGGAACTTGCCTGCATGTGTAAGACTGTGGTTTGCTGCAGAGTCACCCCACTTCAGAAAGCCCAAGTAGTAGAGCTGGTGAAGACACACAGAAATGCTGTCACTTTGGCCATTGGTGATGGAGCCAATGACGTCAGCATGATTAAAAGTAAGAGGGTATTCACTCCATGGGGCCTGCGACACACATGGAGTTCTCAGTTCCAGCATTTGGCAATGTGTATTCTCTAGATCACCTTAAAATTTATTTTTGCCATGATTCTGAATGAATGATACTTTCTGGATCCAATGCTTCCACCCTTTTTAGCATTTATAACAACCTCTTTGTCTTTAAAACAATCCTTGGAGTATTTCGAGGTTAGAAAAGAATGTTGGTCACTTTGTACCATTTGGGGAAGGAATAGCTACAAGGTAGAGAAAAGAACACCAGACCCACGTTTGTAACATACAACTTTTAACTCCAAATTTTCCACGTTTAAGTTATAAAACCTTGTGTAATTTATTGATCCTTTCTGAGCCTGAGTTTCTCTTTTGTAAAAGTAGGATATATGCCTATCATGAGTGTTTCATGAAACAATATATGTGAAAAATTAGGATCGGAATGACTGTAAGTTTTTCATAAATGAAAAACATAAAGGAAGAATGCCAGCTTCCCCAAACAGCTGGAGTGACAGTGTTCCTCTTTCCTTTGCAGGTGCTCACATTGGCGTTGGCATCAGCGGCCAAGAAGGTCTGCAAGCCGTCTTAGCCAGTGACTATTCATTTGCACAGTTTAGATATCTCCAAAGGCTTCTCCTTGTCCATGGAAGATGGTCCTATTTCCGAATGTGCAAATTCTTATGCTATTTCTTCTATAAGAATTTTGCATTTACACTTGTACATTTCTGGTTTGCTTTCTTCTGTGGTTTCTCAGCCCAGGTTGGTAAAAAGCATGTTTCTTTCTTTTACAAGAGTCCCTGAATTATAAATGTTTCTTGTTCATGGCTCTTTACTAATAAACAGAATACAGGTCTGGTATAAGGGACAGTATCACAGTTATATAATTTATAGTTGACTTGAGCATTGAACCCAGGAAGAATGTATATTTAGTTAAAATTTAATTTATTTATTTTCTTTTTTATGTAGTAACTGGCAAGTATTTCTTCCTATTTATTTTTTGGATTTTTTTATCAAATGTTTTGGTGTGATGAGAGGTAAAAGCTTGATGTGGAGTTTTAATTCAGAACAGAAATCTGAGAAACACTGACAATAAATGTTGAAGTATCTTTATGGAGGAGATGGTCACTTACCCAACATGTCATGCATCTGGGCTGACAGTAAATGTATTTTAAATCAGGGAGAAATAATTGGTACTCCAACATAAAGCTTTTTTGACAGCAATGCATCAGTTAAAAATTGATCTATAGATAACGTGGAACAAGGAAGTACATTTAGGAAATTCATAAATTAGGATTCTATTTCTAAATCTATTAATATCCATTTTATAGGACAGTTACTTAACTCCACATCATGGATATCAGAAAAGTTTTGACTTTAGGTATCAACTATGAAATGTAAAACCTGGAGCATTTAAACATACTTATGAACAAAATTCTTACTAAAACCTTCCATGTAGATATGGTGTTGATATTTTGAGCAATGACAACTAAAGAAAAAGATTTTTCTTGAGAATGAAATGGTGACCATAACTCTTATAGATTTCTCTAATTGTTCTTGGCTCCTTTAGGTTTTAATCAATGACTTTGAGTTCAATGATATTCTTGAGGCTAATTTTTTCAATCATTTTATTTCAAAAGGATTGAATATGAATTAAGTCTTGGCATTTTATTTCCTCTGTAATGTGCTAAGGAAGGGCATGGTGGCTCACACATATATTCCTAGTACTTTAGCCAAGGTGGGAGGAATGCTTGAGGCCAGGAGTTTGAGACTATCCTGAGCAATATAGCAAGACCCTAGCTCTACAAAAGAATTAAAAAAAAATTGTCTAGGTGTGGTGTTATGCACCTGCAGTCCCAGCTACTCGGGAGGCTGAGGCAGGCGGATCACTTGAGCCCAGGAGTTTGAGATTGCAGTGAGCTATCATGACACCCCTGCACTCTAGCCCAGGCAATAGAATGAGACCTTGTCTGGGGGGAAAAAAGTCGTGAGAGAGATTAGTGAATCCTTTTTGTAATGAAAATGTATTTTGAACATTTCCCCCTTTTTCTGGGAAGTTGATATTTCTTAAAGTGAGGCACCCCTATACCCATTCTGAATTTTCTCTTTTTAGGCTAACATGCCCAAAATTAAAAGCAGACTATGTTGATATTTTTGACCTTATTGATATTCTCATAACAGTTGAAGTAAAGCAGAGATTTGATTTTAGCTACTGAGAGATAGAAGTTTTCTTAGTGCTACTTCAGAGCAGGCGTGGGGGTGGGGATAGTTAACTGCTCATACTGTATTCCAGGATAGTATTTTGCATATTGATATTGTTACTGCTTTCTAGAGTTATACTTTTAATGGATAAGCATAAATAAAAGAATTAAAATATTTAGATAGATAATGCCTTAGTACCACTCATGTATAATGCACATCCTTATTTTTTCTTCAAAAATTTGGGCAAAAAAGTACACACTGTACACTATAGGCAAAATATGGTGATTTCACCTTTGTCCAGCAAAGACAAGCATGGGGATGTGGCTTGTGCCTTCCTAGTTTGGTGACTTAGCCCCCCTCCACATAAGATCAAAGTGAACCTATTTGTTAAGGGGTGTTTGTAAGAGATCTGATTTTCATATTCCAAAGATTTAAAGTGGAATAGTTACAGAATTATGAAGGGATAGCCTAACCTTTATTTAAATCTCTTGAGACACAGTGGAGTGGTTAATGATTTATATTTACAGACACATCAAGCTTTTGTGGGAAGGTTTACCGCCAAGTTGTCTTTGTCAAAACTGTGAAGTTGAAACTAGTGTTCAATGACCTCCTTTACATTTAGACTACTTTCTGCTTTGCTTTTGGAGTCTGATAAAATTGGTTAGAGTCAAATGTTAAGCAACTTTATTTTCAATCCCTTCTCCAGTATTTAATGATAAAAGAAAACTGCAAGGGAGAATAATAATTGCTCCAAAGACATGATTATCTGAGGGTTGAACCTGGCTGTAAGTCACACCACTTGTGTATAATTAGGTTTCCGAAACTTAGCATGTTTCTTTTCTGTGTTCCTTTCTTTTCTCTTCTTTTGTTTTTTACACAGAAAACTCTAGTTGGTTGCACAATCTTAATTTCGAACCAATGACAGTCCTGAGTGACTATTTGTGTTCTTCCCTCTGCTGGTGAATTGGGCTGGACCAGTGGTTCTCAAGCTTCAGTGTGCATGGGAATCACCTGAAGGGCTTCTTAAAGCACAGCGCACTGGGCCCCAGACCCAGATTCTGATTTAGGGGGTCTGAGTAAAGCTTAGACATTTGCAGTTTTTGGCCAGGGGGCTGGGTTTGAACCCGCCACCTTTGGCATGTGGGGCCAGCGCCCTACTCCTTTGAGCCACAGGTGCTGCCTCATTTTGCAGCATTTGCATTTTTAACAAGATCCCTGGAGTAGCTGATGTTGCCGGTTGGGGACCATACTGTGAGAACCACTGGGCTGGAAAGACTTGAAGAATAATCCCAAATTCTGTTTCCTTGAACTCAGAGCACAGAGTGATATCCAAGCTTCTGACTTTTTGTTTTAACACTGGGCCCTATTCATCTTTTTCAAGATGGAAAGGGTCAGTGTAGCAAACAGCTGATCCACTTAAATTGGATTTTTCCAGAGAGTTTAAAGGCCCTTTACCCCTTCTGCCAAGCCACCGTTCCTGACAGGAATTATAACCACACTAAGACAGGGCCAGGAGAAAAAGGGATGTCTGTTTCGGGGCATAGGATTGCTTTCAGTCAGTCTTTTATGTTCTTATGTAGCTTAACCATAAGCTCCTGGAGTAGTGGTTCTCAGCCTGTGGGTCACGATCCACGGGAACATATTAAAGGGCCGCAGTGTTAGGAAGGTTGAGAACCACTGTGCTGGAGGAAAAGAAGGCTCATGTAAACCATCTGCACATGTATAATAAAATCTTGAATGGCACCTGGCATATGGAACGTACTCCAGTCATTTCATATTGTTGGGCGTTTCTAGAGCCCTTTCTCCAGTCTCAGGCAAGTGCCACAGGAAGAACCATTCCTACCTTCCTATAGTCAGTCACTTCACACAATTGCCACTTATTCTACCTGCACCAAGGACCATTCCTGTAAGGTTGCAGATCCAGCCTATGAAAATGTGTGCAGCCTAGCTGATACTGTGGCACAAGGGTTCAGAGTCTAAAAATCCAAATGTAGTTGTGGCACTGATTCCAGAATGCAGAATGATATTTTTTCAGATGAATTAATCTTCATATGACACGAAAATTAACTAGGCCACAAGGGATACCTTTCTTAATTATTTATATATTACTTCATTCTAGGAAATACAAAAAGTAGATGCCTAGGTTTTTGCTTGCCTCTGGGCTGATTTAAACAGAGAAGGACATATCCTTTTTAGGCAGAGGAGCAAACACCACCTAAAACCAGTGGGCTTCTGAGTGGGAGTCTTGGATTCATATCTGTTTTGCCCCAATTTCTATGATGATCTGATTAAATTGAGACCCAAACTTATACTGGAAAGGGTCCTTTCATGTCACTATTTAAGGTTTTAATTCATTTAATAAATATTCACTAAGCCCTTGGCACATGTCAGGCTGTGATGCCTGCTGGAACTTAAATCCTGGGTTTGGGAAGGGATATCTGAAAGGTATGTTCTTGGTGGGAATGGCAAAGTGTGATCTCACAACATGGTCTTAGCTCTTCATGTTGTGGAGGAGTTAAGGTTCTATTTTCAGACTTTTCAGAGAAGTAGCTAGGCTTGTCAAGAGAGTGGCCAGTAGTGATTGATTATCATTTGTTGGAGAGGAGAGGACAGCCAGTCGGAGACAGTCCCCATATAATGGCATCAATACTGTGGTGTCAGCTTCTTTATAGACTGATGATATTGTTGACACCAACAAGTAGGGATTAAAAACAAATTGTAACTATAGCTAACACTTAAATACCACTCCCTATATTTCAGGCATTCTCTAAATGCTTTCCCTGTATTAGCTCAATACTTAACACTAATCATATGAAATAGATTTTATAAGGATGATCTACCTCAGCTTTTTGAAAAAAATGATTTAAAAAATTTTAGTTGTGGTAAAAACCACACAATATACAATTTACCAATTCAACTATTTTAAGTGCACACTTCCATAGTGTTAAGTGTATTCACAATGTTGTGCAGTAGATGCCCAGAAATTTTTCATTCTTTAAAACCAACTCCTCACTTCCCCACTTCAGCGCCTGCCAATCACCCTCTTACTTTCTCTTTCCTTGAGTTTTGTGACTTTAGATACCTCATATCAATGAAATCGTGTGTAGTATTTGTCTTCCTGTGATTGGCTTATTTCACTTAGCATAATATCCTCAAGGTTCATCCTCATTGTAGCATGTGACATGATTTCCTTTCTTTTTTAAGACTGGATAACATTCTGTTGTATATATATACAACATTTTGTTTATCCATTCATCCATCAGTGATGGAAAATTTGGGTTGTTCTCACCTCTTGGTCTACATCAGCTTTTTGCTTGATATTTTACAAACAATATTTGGGAATTCCACTCTTCAAAATATTATATTCCCTCCCACCCTCACCTCCCTACTTTCTCTCCCCAGGCTTGACAATTCACTATTCACATTAATCTGTTAAAAACTCTGACAAGTCCAAAGGTAAAGACATTCTACAGTATTTAATTGATTCCAAGATGCATACATATTTTTTTCACATTTGACGTCTCTGAAATTGAAATGTGTGTTCACAATCAAAAGTATAT